TTTGAATAACCTCTAAATTTGGGCAAAGGGGGTCCTTTTAAGATTATGATCATTGTGAGCAGAAGCTTATAGATTTGGCTTTTCCTGAGTTGCCATGGTCCAGTAATGCTATAGGATTACAGCTCCCCAGGCACCAGGGGGTGGAAGAGAACAGCTGAGAATTGAATCAGCTGAGCTTAAAATATGATTGAATTTCAAAGCTGCCATTTCTAGCTCAAGGCCTTTGCCTTGCAATAAATATATTAAAGACCACCTGCAATTCTGCGCTCCTCCGTGTCTTTGCACATCTAAACAAGACAGTATGGCAAGGGAAGAAAAGGTAACAAAATTTCACCAGACCAACTAGTCCACCGAATGGGATATATTACATGAAAAGAGAACCCAGCTAGATTTCAATAACCTTAAGATGATGATAAAAAGTAGCCAAGCCTATCTGTTTAATTCTGTAGCATAGCCAATGTCCATAGCCCTCATTGTCAAAGTTGTGACTTCTCTTTCTTTCCTAATAGCTTGATCCTATATAAACACTTCTTTTTCCTGTACAGAGGCAGCCTGTGGCGTTCATGGCTGCTGGAGGTCACCAAGTCATATAATGAAACAAGATTACTGAGGTAGCTAGGTAATTTTATGAATAGTAATATAGTTATTCGTGCTGGGGTGAAAGTAATTAAACTGTGTACTTCAGGAATCAAAAACAGAAGTTCTTTAATATAGTTTGCTAAAGACTAAATAAAGGCTTGCAAGACCAAATGTTCTGACCATATCATTATGATCTGAAGCAGATGAAAATGAAGCAGTTGCACAATGACCCACTTCAGACAACCTTTTCTAATTTTCCGAACTATTATTTGGACCACTGAGAACTTACTGTGTGAGAACTTACTTTCCCTGCCTCCTCCTCTGGAAGATTTCTAGCTTCGTTTTCTTGTTGGTTATAACCATAGTTTCCTGTGATATCAAAATCAGCCAAAACTATGTAACTAGGATTGCCTCAAAACCATGGTTTGCAAAACCAACCCATACATAATTTCAAGTTATGTGTTGGGGGAATCATCTCAGCTGAGCCACTCAGTGCTACAAAGTCGTGAACCACAACCCAAAAAGAGGTGCTACTTCCATACTGCAAATTTATGAGATATTTGCATATGTTATACAGTTTTAACTATTAATCAAAGCCAGTTTCAAACTTGCATCCTTCAGATCATTCTTTTCATATCTATCAAACAGCCAAGGAGCCTCTGGTACATTTGTCATATAATCCTTGCACATTGTAGACAATTTGGGGGCACATTTCCAGGTCCATAGTTCACAAAAAGTGGTTGCCCCTAAAAAGAAAGTGCGAGACTGGCTTCATTATTATCAGATAATGGAGGCATACAATTTGGACAAGAAAATCGGCTTCCAGGTGGAAAAATCAAAATTAGAAACAGAATTGTTAGAACCCAAAACTAAGATTTTGTCAAAGATGTATAACTTGCTGTTGAAATGGAACACTCAGGATGAAACGGTGAAATCTGCTATGATTAAATGGGCACAAGATGTTGGACATGACATAATGTTTGCTGACTGGGAACAGTTGTGGACCACAGGTATGAAATTCACGGCATGTAATGCCTTAAGAGAGAATATTATGAAAATGATATACAGGTGGTACATAACCCCAGTCAAGCTTGCAAAAATCTACCATTTGCCCGACAACAAATGTTGGAAATGTAAAGAAACTGAAGGTACATTCTTTCACCTTTGGTGGACGTGCCCAAGGATTAAGGTTTTCTGGGAGATGATTTATAATGAATTAAAAAAGGTATTTAAATATACCTTCTTGAAGAAACCAGAGGCCTTCCTCCTGGGCATAGTCGGCCAATCCTGTTAAAGAAGGACAGAACTTTCTTTATGTATGCTACAACAGCAGCAAGAATACTTATTGCAAAGCATTGGAAGACACAAGATCTACCCACACTGGAGGAATGGCAGATGAAAATGATGGACTACATGGAATTGGCGGAAATGACTGGCAGAATCCGAGACCAGGGAGAAGAGTCGGTGGAAGAAGATTGGAAGAAATTTAAAGACTACTTACAGAAATATTGTAAAATTAATGAATGTTAGAATGATGTCGGATTGAAGTTAAGTGGTTTCCAGCTGTAATGGTATAAAAGAATATGGAAAAATTGGTTTTTTTAATACGTTAAAATTTAATGTTATAATATATCAAGATTAAAGATCAGGATTAAAAAGGAGGGAAAGGAATTGCTGGACTAACAAATTGAATTGGAATACAAAAGAGGGTGGTATGAGGAGGTCCGGGAAACAAGTAAATGTAAGAGAAGTGATGAAAAGATGGAATTGTTTTTAACTGTTTTTTCTTTTTTTGTATTTTGTATTTTTCCTTTTTATTGTTAATTTTCTTATTAATGTAATCTTTTTCTTTTCTTTGAAACTTTAATAAATATCATTAAATAAAAAAAAAGTGGTTGCCAGAGGCTTTATTGGACTTCGATTTTGCCCTGCAGTGTATATCCTAGTACACACTCCATACCCTGTGGCAGCACACTGCGGGAAAAGACCAATAGCAGTAGGCAAGCTGTCTTTTAATGAAGTTTGTCTGGTATAACTGATCTTTTCTTTCAAGTACCTCTGATAAGCTTCAGAGGAACTCCAGGGTTCCCTGAAACACAGTTTGAAATCTACCAATCCAAAGCATCAAAAGAGGCTGATGTGATGTATCTCAGGTATCTGAAATTATATTTCTAAAAAGAAAAGGTGTCTAGCTAGCACCTAGGCAGTAACCTGAAGTTCAGATGGGCGTGCAGTCCTAAATGGTTAGCCTTGCTTAAAGGACTAGCTCCACAAAATTACTGCTTTATTCCCATAAGCTTAGAAAATGAGTGACTATAGTTCAAGAGACCCGGGGAAGGTTCCAGAAGAATTAGTGTTAAATTCAGGAGTTCTTGACTTAAATCTCTGTTGTTAAATGGGACAGAAATAAGGAAGTATGGTAGCAATAAGCAGAGTGAGCATAGAACCATGGACATTTTGATGGACAATAGTCTGAGAAATGTTTGTTGAGCAATTGTTCAGTGATGCTTAGAGGGTCAAATTCGGACCTGAGGAGGCTCAGGTGCAAATCCCAGCTCAGCCACAAAGTTTCTTGGATGATTTTGGGCCTCCCACTCTTTCTGGGCCTAATCAACCTCACAGGGTTGTTGTGAGAGTAAAATGGGTAACTTGTATTGAACTCTTTGAAGAAAAGGCATGGTAAAACGCTTAGTAAAAATAAAATAAAATGCTGGTTTAATTCTATGCATCAGTTGCGGTATGAAACTTTAAATTATATTGATCATCTCACAAAAGAGCAAAATATTTATTTCTGCCATTTTAGAATTGTATGTGAGAGGGGAAGCACAATTATTAAGATTGTGGTGTACTTCTGTTCTTTTTATTACATTGATTTGTGGAGACAATGATGGCAAAACTCCCACTGATTTAATAGTTTTGGACTGTACTTTGTTTTGAATGATCATAAGAGAGTTACCGTATTTTTCGCCCCATAGGACGCACCGGCCCATAGGACGCACCTAGTTTTTTGGGGGGGAAATAAAGGAATTTCCCCCCCTTTATCCCCCCCCCCCGCAAACCAGGTTGGGGAATCCAAACCAAGTTGGGGAACAGCGGGATGGCGGCGCTGCGCCTCCCCGCTGTCCCCCGAGCTTGTGGGGCTGCCTAATGTCTGCCCAAAGCGCGGGGCGCTCTGCTTCAGCGCTCCCCGCGCTCCGTGCAGCAGGCTGCTATCCGCAGCCTAGGGAGCCCTGCGGGAACTCCTGCAGGGCTCCCCAGGCTGCGGATGTGTTCCCGAAGCGCTGGGCGCTCTGCTTTCAGTGCGCCCCACACTCCAGGAAGCAGGCTGCTATCCGTAGCCTAGGGAGCCCTGCGGGAACTCCCGCAGGACTCCCCAGGCTGTGGATGTTTTTCCGAAGCGCCGGGCGCTCTGCTTTCAGCGCGCCCCGCGCTCCGGGAAGCAGGCTGCTATCCGCAGCCTAGGGAGCCCTGCGGGAACATTGCTTTCCCCCCTGATTGGACTCAAGACAGCTTACAGATAAAAATAAGGACTGCTAGAAACAATTAGGGAAACAAACAACATTTAAAACAATTAAACGTTGATAGAAATAAAACGATATACATACATAAAATCTATTAAAATCATACCGGTAATTAAAATAAAAACAGCACAGCACCATCCCTTTCAGTAAAAGCAGTCAGTTCCCAAAAACGTATTGGGATTCCCACTGTTTCAACACCCAAGCTTTGAAACAAAATATCAATTTTATTTCTTACAAAGCTTTTTGAGTAAATAAGCATGAACCACTCCTACAACTTTCAGCTTCTTAGCATCAGAAATATAGTCATTGTTGCTGTTCTAAATAGCATTGTTTCACCTTCTAGAACACGATGAATGTCTCACAAACCAACACAGCTGTGATGAAAATGCACTCTGCTTCAATACCGTGGGAGGACATAACTGTGTTTGCAAGCCAGGTTTTACTGGAAATGGCACTGTATGCAAAGGTAAGGTATCAGAACAAAACCGCAATTGTTTATTGTCTTGCTGGATTTTACCTTTTGATTGATAAATGCTAAAGCTGCCTTTGTACCTGGAAGACGAATAATTCAGGCCCAACAACTTTAAGCAGAACCAAGAGAAACCTAGTCAATTCATTTTAGCATGCACTCTACTTATAAATAATATGCTGTTTCACACCAGACAAAGCAGTGATTTCATGTTTACCACCAAATGCAGTGGAGAATTGTGAGCAATTACAACTCCCGGGAATATGCATTGATGCAAAACATTCAGTGATAAATGCACTGCCAGTATGTTGTGTCAATATCTGCTTTGTGTTTCATATAAGTGTTTGTATTTCATATAATCATAGCATTTGTAGAATTGGGAGGGACTGTGAGGATCATCTAGCCCAAGCCCCTGCGAAGCAGGAATATTTTGCCCAACGTGGGGCTTGAACCCACAACCCTGAGATTTAGAGACTCGTGTTCCACCATCTGAGCTATCCCAGAATGTTGGAGAGGTTGTGGTGGACAGGCTCTGGGTCAGCCTCCTGTTCATCCAGCAACCAGTGAGAGCTGGGGAGACTAACAGCCAGGGGGCAGGGAGTTAAAGTTGGAAGCTTACAGTTTAATGGCCAGATAGGGCATTGACTCTCAGTGAGGATTATTTGTTAAGCTAGGTGGGCGTTAGCTGCCATTGTGGGCAGTTGGGGGTTTGGGCTATTTGAGTGGGGTTAGCTACTCAAGGCAACACAGTTGACGGATGAGTGAGTGTTGCTGGATAGGAATATAGATAGCCATTCTAAATGGGAAAAATCTACCTGAGATTTGGTTTGGGAAATGGTTCTGTTTAACAATTATCTGCAAAGGGTGTGTATCTTAAACTAGGTTTTGTGCATCCTTTGTGAAACAATAAACCCTCATAGGGTGAAATTAAATAAACCCTTAGTTTTGTTCCAGAAGTCCCTCCTTATACTTTGAACTTCTAGGTGGGGAGTGAATAGATATTGAGCCATCTTTAAAGAGTTGCAAGGTATTAAACTTATGTACAGTGGTACCTTGGGTTACATACGCTTCAGGTTACATACGCTTCAGGTTACAGACTCCGCTAACCCAGAAATATTGCTTCAGGTTAAGAACTTTGCTTCAGGATGAGAACAGAAATTGTGCTCTGGCAGTGCGGCAGCAGCAGGAGGCCCCATTAGCTAAAGTGGTCTTCAGGTTAAGATCGGTTTCAGGTTAAGTACGGACCTCCGGAATGAATTAAGTACTTAACCCGAGGTACCACTGTAATCTTAAATGCTATTAGTTATTTCTAGACCCCTCCTGTGTGAATAGCAGAAAGAGTTTTATCCATCAGCACACCCACAAAATCAGTTATGTTGCCCAGCCCCCATCTTCAGGTATGGCATCTGTCACAGAGGCAAGCAAACTTGGTTATCGGCTGAGTTTTAGAAACTTCCAAAGTCTGTAATTGAAGGCCTTTGCTTCCTGCCAAGGGAGTGACAGTCATTAGCTGAATAAGCATTCATGCAACATTTAAAAACACACCAAACATAGACAGAGCCATTTGTATGGCCCTGGCTCCCTCCCTTCTAGCAGGATGTCAATTTTCTTGAGAAAATCGCAGCAAATGACCACCACCCCCCAAATGTTTTTGAGGCTTAAAATGTCAAAGCACCATTGAATGAAGGCTGTGCATCCATGGAAAAGGGCCTACCATAGCACTCCTGCAAAGTTCAAAGAAGACCTCAGGCTGATGTAATTAAGCCCATCAGATTTATCACTGGCAATGTGACAAACATCACATTAGACGCTTCCTAACTTTTTAAGATCATGGATCAAAACATGATGGGCTGGAAGGCTACAGTGTCTAATACATGAGCAAATGAGGCTCAAAATCCTTCCTAGTCAGGCATGTAGGAAAAAGTACCTTTGCCCTTGGACTCAGTACAATTGAAGGCTACCACATTAACTTAAAACATTCACAGTGTGTTAATTTAAGATATTTACAGTGCTTTCATTTTTTGGTATTTGCAGTTCATGTCTACTCTCAGGTAAGTGGGTATAAGATTGTTTCCTTAATATTTTGTTTTTTACAATAGTATTGTGGGATCCTTTCCCACAATACTATTACTAATACTGAGAGCCAGTGTGGTGTAGTGGTTAAGAGTGATAGACTCGTAATCTGGGGAACCGGGTTCGCGTCTCCGCTCCTCCACATGCAGCTGCTTGGTGACCTTGGGCCAGTCACACTTCTCTGAAGTCTCTCAGCCCCACTCACCTCCCAGAGTGTTTGTTGCGGGGGAGGAAGGGAAAGGAGAATGTTAGCCGCTTTGAGACTCCTTCGGGTAGTGATAAAGCAGGATATCAAATCCAAACTCTTCTTCTTCTTCTTCTTTCATTTTTTTTTATGGTTTCAGCTTTCTGCAAAGATGGTTGTAGAAATGGTGGAGCCTGTATCGCTTCCAATGTCTGTGCCTGCCCACAAGGATTCACAGGCCCAAGCTGTGAAACTGGTGAGAAATCCTCTTGTTGACTTGCAAAGTCAGTCTTACATTCTTACATAAAGTCATACAAAAAAAATACACTTTTTTAACATGTATCTAAAATTAAGTGCAGCTGTGGAAGGATAACTAGATCATTTGCTCCGTGTTTCCTTTCAGTAAATTCTTCTGCATCAAATGTAGTCATGGAATATATTTTTTGCATCACTATTTTTGGTACATAGAATTGTTACTGCGTGTATGTGGGCATTATTTTAGTTTTAATTGTGATTGTTTTCAGTTGTTGCTACAACCTAGAATGGAGTTGCGCAGATCTTGAATTTATGTTTATCTCAGGTTGAAGCAAATAAGCATCTTTCTGCAGCATAGATATATTGAAATATTATCTAAAGCTAGGTAATGACAATATTAGCAATGCAGCGAATCATAAGTACATTATATTGTAGCAGTAAGCCCCGCTGAGTTCATTAGAAATTATTTCTATCTTATGGCTATGATCAAACCAAACTACTTATGTGTGGCTTACAGTGTACTGGGGCAACAAGAGGGAAAGTCTGGGTTTTGAAATTTATGCAAAAAGCTTTCCAATTGTGTAGTTTTTATTTGTATAACCCTGTTTGTCTATGTCCACTTTCACATGCATACTGCACGTTACATAGATTACAGGACTACTACTGATCCATGAGCAGAAAGCTATATATATATGTGTGTGTGTGTGTGTGTGTGTGTGTGTGTGTGTGTGTGATTTGCATTCCATCTCTGATTGAAAAATGAAAATAGAAATTTAGCATTTTGGCTAAAATCTGAAAATTGCCTTGCGTTCTGTCAGAACTGCCTCCCATGATCTTACTTTGGTTGTCATTCTAATGCCAAGGAATGTATTCAAATTTCAGTGAAGTCCAATCTTTGTTGTGAACTATCTTACCTGATCAGTCATAAGCTAAACAGTATTTGTACAAAACATCTGGAAGGAAGATGTTTTAAAGAGATACAGGATAATCAAGCCATAGTTCTATCAAAAAGATTTTCAAACAGCTGTCAGGTCTGTGTGTGATGTTATCAAGCTCTAAACAGCAATGGTCCACCTGAGAAGTGAAAAATAATCCTGTTGTTCTTAGGTAGAAACTGCCATTGTACTAACAGTTTCATCTAGAAAGAATACACATTTCTCTGCAAATGTGCTATTTTCAAACATTACTTGAGGGCAAATAATGCATATAGGTTTGTTTTGCTTTGGGTGGTATCCAGTGGTGTCACTCAGCTGATGGTAAGGCTTCTAAGGATCTCAAGGTGGTGTATATGGTTCTCTTCCCTCTTATTTAATCCCCCACAACAACCCTGTGAGGTAGGTTAGATTGTGAGGCAGTGACTAGTCCAAGGTCCAAGGTCACCCGGTGAGCTTCATGACCAATAATACATCATTTCTCTGTTTTATAACTTCATTTGCATACCTGAGGTTTGGAAGATTTAAATTCAGCTCAGGTTAGAGGCTTGCCCAGGTAATTGCTATAGATTAGATCTCTCTAGAGTTACGTGTCACATTCTGTGGAAGCTAAACATTTTGCATGTGTGACTGCTGCTCTTCACTGCAACTTTAAATTAATTTGTTCAGGTGCACTGGCCATGATAATAGAACGATTTAGATTATGACTGTTCCTAGGGGAGGCTTGCATAAAATCCTTTTAATTCCAGTACTCATGGTTTCTTAGAAAAATAGTTTTACTACTACTCAGAATATAATTTATTGTCAAAGCTGCCACAAAGCTTGTTAAGTGTGCTGATACTGCTAAAGCTGCTGGAGTATTTAGCACTTCAGATTTACTGCTGTGTTCAGATAACAGTAGTCACAATGAACCCATACCCAGTTGATTTGTAAGATCGCTAACTGGATTTGGTCTGAGCAATTATATAGGACTCCAGGTGACCCTAACCAAATTCTAATCAAGAAAGTTTGCCCACGTTTTTCCTCAACTCTCAGGAGAGAAGTAACGCTTCATTTTCCCTTCTCTGGTTTCTTTTCGTTTCTTCCTTTGCCCATCCTATTGAATGGGTAGCCAGGTAGCAGAAGGACAAGAACTTGTCTCTTCGTGCTTCATCTCTGGCAAGGCAACAAACAGATTCACTCACTAAAGAAGAAGTGAAATCTATGGTTCCCGATAGGTTGCTGATCAGCCCTCAACAAATATGTGGATATATCAGCCTTGTACCTGGCACTGCTCAGGAATTCTTGTTGTTGTTGTTTAGTTGTTTAGTCATGTCCGACTCTTCGTGACACCATAGACCAGAGCACGCCAGGCACTCCTGTCTTCCACTGCCTCCCGCAGTTTGGTCAAACTCATGCTGATAGCTTCGACAACACTATCCAACCATCTCATCCTCTGTCATCCCCTTCTCCTTGTGCCCTCCATCTTTCCCAGCATCAGGGTCTTTTCCAGGGAGTCTTCTCTTCTCATGAGGTGGCCAAAGTATTGGAGCCTCAGCTTCACAATCTGTCCTTCCAGTGAGCACTCAGGGCTGATTTCCTTAAGAATGGATAGGTTTGATCTTCTTGCAGTCCATGGGACTCTCAAGAGTCTCCTCCAGCACCATAATTCAAAAGCATCAATTCTTCGTCGATCAGCCTTCTTTATGGTCCAGCTCTCACTTCCATACATCACTACTGGGAATTCTAAGAAACCCAAAAGTCAGAGCAGTTTTGAAAGGTTCAGCCCACCATCTTGATTCAAAATGGACTCCAATTGTATCCAGTCTTAGACAAAAACCAGCTCTGTGATGTCAGGAACCATTATTTAAAGTTTGGTTATGGCATATTGAGCAAACAACTTTCTGAAGTATACAGTAGATACAATCTAAAGAAAGATAGAATATAACTCAAGGATCTTTTACATTCTGTGTGCATCCTAGCCCTATTTCCATAAATCAATCTTTTGCCCTCCTTTAATTAGTATTCAGGATGAATGTCTGTTTCTACAGATGTAAAGATAAAATAGGTCACCATT